CACACACACACACACACACACACACACACACACACACACACACAAACGCACGCTACAGAGTGAAGATCAAAGGTTAAACATCACTTTTCATCAGCTGCGCCACCCTCTCCTCTATCTGTCCTCCTCCTGTCTAATGGTTGTGTGTTTGTGTGTGAAGCTATGTGTACATGAGTACGAGCAGACGTTTGTCTGTGGTTGTGGGAGCATTTCTGTCCTCACCAGGCGACGTTTTGGAGAGGCTTTTTTTCCTTGCACACAGTAAATAAACAGTCCTGTCCTCCTCCATTGTTTTCCTCTATCTTTCTCCATCTCCTGGATGTTTTTTTCCCCCCTATGAAACTACAGTTTTGTTTGCATTACGCGATTAATGGGAGACTTAGTGTTTCTTTTGTAGTTGTAAAATTGGCTATTAATTTGACGTATGCTCCAATAAAGTCTGTAACAGAGCCTTTCTATAATTTGATAAGTATGTGAGATTTTAAAGTGCATGCCTAGGAGTTTGCAAGTGAACTGAAAATCCTGCTCTCGACTCTTTCAGGGTTAAAAATAAAAAAGTGAGAGAGAGAGTGGGGTACTTCACCACTTAACCCCCCCCCGTGTGAACCCCAGTCCTGGCTAAAGCAGGAAGCGTGCACTTATTCTCGAGGTGTACGTTTACAGAACCTCTTTCTCTGCACCCTCAAATTTTTGTGGGTCAGGGGTTCAATACGGCTGCAGAGTACTGTAACGTTCAAGACATGAGGTCTTCAAGTTTTATTCAAGTCTTTTCTCATTTTTGGAAAACAACACGTCTTAACACTATTCACAGTGAACCTTGAGGACTCCTCCTCCTTCCAAAATAAGTGCTCGAGTATGAGTTTGGCAAGTGGATATTTTTGTGTTGTTTTTTTTCTAAGCTTTTCTTGTGGCAATAATTTTGAACTTCATAATTATCTCTGGTATTTAGAAATATTCTTGTGAGAGTGTGTTTCAACATCAACACTTAAGGCAGTGTGCGTGTAAAGTAAATAGAAATAAATTATGCAGTGTCTGGGAACACGTTCAGACTATGAAACCTGGTATGTTAACGGTTTCCTCCTAGCGCTGTATGAATTTGTCCAAAGTGGTTTGCAATTATTATTATTAAAACCAATTTCTTTCTTATTTTTGTAATTACAGTTCTTTATTTAGCTGAAGAAAGTAGACCTGTGTGTGTCTGTGCAATCTTTAAGACTTCATATGTAAATCACATTGCGTTCTAGTCGTTATCACTGTTGTTTCTTTCATTGCGAAGTCAAGCAGCCTTGCTCCATAGTTCATTAATGATAACCCCATCAGTGAGGTTGGCCACAAGCCGTCCCTTTCCTCCAGCTCTTCATTAGCACGGTGTTGTGGGTTTGAGCTTCAGAGCAGCCAGGCTGCACTCTGGGCAATCCAGGCTGCCATGCATATTATCACATTATTATGCTTCCTAGTGTGTGGGATTGAACATTTGCCGTAAGGCTTCTAAGCACTTTTACCCGCTGATCCGCCACACACTTGTAGAGTTTTTGATGTCATTGCGACCTACATGTAAATGTAGATTATTTTTAAATCAGCAGCATGCATATCTTTGACTCTGCTGTGTTTTATGTAAAGTATAATCCTCGTGGTGGATTTCTGCTGTTCATCAAAAAAATAGGTAGTAGCAGACGTAATCAAATAAATACGTTCTTTAGCAAATAAATGGTAAATGGCCTGTGTTTATATAGCACTTTACTAGTCCCTAAGGACCCCAAAGCGCTTTACACATCCAGTCATCCACCCATTCACACACCTGGTGATGGCAAGCTACATTGTAGCCACAGCCACCCAGGGGCGCACTGACAGAGGCGAGGCTGCGGACACTGGCGCTACCGGGTCCTCTGACCACCACCAGGCAACGGGTGAAGTGTTTTGCCCAAGGACACAACGACCAAGATAGTCGGAGCCGATTACAAGGCGAACTCCCAACTCTTGAGCCACGATCGCCCCAGACTCCTCAGGGTTAAATTTATACTTAACATGGTTTCATAAGCTTTTAACATCTAGTGAGCTAATAGATTATTTCTTTTAGGATTTTCGACTCCACATTAATAGGCCCTTATGAGCTGTGCTTATATAACTGCCTCCAGTGCCACGACAAAGTTAGACAAAAGTTATATATAGAAGTTAACAATTGTGTTTTCCCTCATTTGCTGCTCCTGGAGGCTGCTACATGTCCTACTCTCCTGTGGATGGCTGCTAATTTTCTCTGCTAGAACTGATGCAGTGTACTTTTCTGTACCATAACAACAGCTCCTCTGGCTCAACCATATGTCGAATTTTTAGATTTTTACAGAAAGGATTTAATGACGTCTCCTGATAATTCGTGTGTTAAACAGAACTGGGTTGGATTGGGGGTTTATTTGGCCATTTCCAAATGCAGAGGCACTTGGCACACTCATTTTGGAAAATTTGCTTGCTACAACTGACATCTTAGTTTAGCTTAGCAAAAACACTGGAACAAACCAGTTATACTGCTTCTTTCAAGGTTTGCAAAACCCACCTACCAGCATGTTTAAGGCTTACCAACTAGCACATTATATTTCTTTAATTCATTCTTACAAAAACAAAGTGGTTTAGGTGGGTTTCTGTATAAGGGCTATTTTTTGGAGGGATCAATCCAGTAACTTAAGTTTCCGCTGGCCTATTAAAAAGTGGCAGCTGTGCCAGCAGCTTCCACCTATTTTCTGTCTTGATGCAAAACTAAACTGCTACCTTGAATCAATACAGGAACTATTCCAGCTACCGTAATTCTCTGTTATAATCTAGTGCAAAATATCATTAAACATCTTTTCCACAAATTAAAATATAATATTCCTTGTCACTGCATTGCTGCTTCTTTGCATAAACTACAAATCCACAAATTAGTATGTAGACCCAAACAAGCTATTCATTCATAAAAATATGACCCCAAATAGCTACTAGCGGTAAAAAGTAAAGTGTGAGATTAACCATCCTTATCTTTTTTTGTTTAATTTTAGCTCACTGGCACTTCAGCACTCTTCACCAGCCTCTTAGTGGGCTCTGCACTATCGAAGAGCCCATTTTCTTTACTCAGTTGTTCTCATGGAGGTCTTATTGCAGAGGTTGTTTTATTTTTACCTAAATACTAGGTTTGGATCTCTATGGCAGCCTGGAATTGGTTTGGTTTTCTAGGAATTCATTTACCTTATCTTATTTTCAAAGAGCTGGGTACTGCTGTTTCACCTCAGTGTCTCTCTGAAATACCAAACTGTCCATGTTGATGATAGTGTATTACTACTATGTATGCTATTTGAAAGCAGATCAAACCTCTATTTTAACCATCATTACCATGTTACAGGTCACAATTTCTGTGTGAGGTCCTGCACATCCTAGATGTGGTTTGAGAAATGTACTGTAGCCAACCTGCCTGTCACGCCCAACTACTGGAGCTCCTTAAACTGTCCCTTAAGGCTGTGATTTAAAAGAAAAGTCAGGTGTGGGTGTAAATACAGCTTCATGCATTTTAGCGTGAGGGTCATCATACACACAGAGTAAACAACTAATTTAAATGCATGCTGTAATATGCACTGTTAAAACAGTTAAAATTTGAACTTTTGAATTGTATTTTTGGATGTTTTTCTACTCTTCCACATCATACACGTTAACTGTTCTTTACTCAGCAGGAACCACAAAAGCAAAAATGTAATTTAATGTTTTTGTGGTTCTAGTAATATGCAATGTGCTTCAAAATACAGCAAAAAAGAACGACCAGAAAGAGGCAGAGAGACCAGAGAAGGAGGGA